CTTACATCTTCATTCTCAGAAGAATGTGCCACAACGACGACTGCGAGGTAGATTGCAGTGGAAAAGAATGAAAACATGGTTGAAATTTCCTAGTTAGACGCTCTCTGAACTAGATCTCTATGAATTCATTTCTACTCCTTATCATCGAGACGAGAACCACGCAACAACACAGATCTTCGTCAATAAACCGATTAAGTACGTGATTAAAGAAAAAAAGGCAAAAACTAACGAAATAGTGACCAATCTGTCCTTACAAATGTTGACGATGGGGAGGAACCAGTCTTATCGCTGCATCTTCAAGATCGATAGTCCTTTTGTGTGGTTAATACTGTTGTACAGATGTCCTTATTGAATGTTGAAATGAATTTTCGATCGTCACTTTACGATAATTTGCTGCGTGATTATATCTAGTTCTCATTTGCTGACTTTTAAAATAAAATAAAACTTTGGAATATTTAGAACCAGTAAGTTGTCACAATCCATAAGTAAGCAATAACTTCTTAGAACTATTACAAATTTTGAGATTCGGAGAGTTTTAAACAAAAAATAGACGAAGACGAAAAGGTTTATCAGGCATTTGCCAAATATTCTTTGATAAAAGTTTAAAAGCCTCAAGACGGAGCAGAAACGGAATCTTAAAACTTAATCTCCTCTAGAGCTTTCATACCAAATTATTATTTAATCCAACTTTCAGCGGTATTTGTTAACATCTTTCTAAGGTGCTTAATAATGAATTTCCAGCACATTTATGTGTTTCCTTCCGTAAAAAGGGTTTGAAACCGAATCCGATCCGATAAAGAATTTATTTTTCAAGAGATTCCCATTAGAAACATCCCAAAATCTTCAGATAATATGATAACCGCTTCACTCTTTGCTTTATTCAATTAAAATAATTTGTTATTTGTGACTCAATGTTTACTTTGTTGACTCTTTTCGCGACTACGCTTAACAATATTAACTTGAAAATTAAAATCAATCCCCTTTAAGCTAAATTATTTCTACAAACATTCCTGAGATTTCTTCTTATTTGCACTTCAAATGCGCAAAGTTCATTCATTGTCCAGGTGATTCTGGATTGCTTATTTAAGTGAAAATGCCAATCAAGGGTTTAATATCCCCGTCAGATGAAACCCCAAACAAAAAGAGCTTTTAATGTGTTTAACCAGTGTTCAAATTTAAAATTCAAGTTTAGTCTTAAAATTACAGATTCATTCATGGCTCATGTGATTCACATTGCTCAGGTACGAAACCGTGTAACT